AAGCATCCACCCAAAGATTGAGTCTTGGGCGATGAGAGATGACTGGTGAAATGGCTTGATATCTGGCTTCAGAATGAGACTATAACAATCTGCTCCTATTAAGATGTCGATGGGTCTTGGAGTTGATTTTCTTGAGTTGTCTGGTTAGTAAGGTACCAGTGATACACTTGAGTATGTGAGCATTTATTGTGACTTGCTCCTGTGAGTGAGTTGATCTGATTGTCACGGTTGTCACTCCTCTGGTTTGTACTGCTGGTTCATTTCCGATTCCCAGCACTAAGATCACTGATGGTCGACGTTGGAGATGACATGTCTTTACCACACTTGATGAAATGAATGTCAGCTCAGACTCTGAATCTATCAAAAGTCTTACTGGGAGCTGAGAGTAGTCTGAGATTAATACTGCATTGGCTGTGGCGAGTAAGACCGCTGAGCTGTCCGATTGTACTGAAGAATTGTTGATACATGTCTCTTCTGCAGCTCTGAGTGCTGAAGAGAATCTGTCATGTATCCATGAGTTGTCTGTCTTGATCTTGGTGACTGGCGAATCATGTGAGTTGTTTGAGAGTTGACTACGTCGATTCTGTTCCGTTTCTTCAGCTGTAAGAGATCGAATGAGATCTAATGACCCTTCTTCCGGGACCCTTAACCCTCCTGAGGCCGAAACCTCATGTGCTAAGGTCATCCCTTCCGTTAGGTCACTAAAGAAACACTCTTTACTCCTGTCAGCACATATAGATTGACATGATTCATAACCATTAATCGTTGAGTTGTCTGCGTGTTGAGTGATCACACCACCACTTGGAGAATTGACTGAAACATAATTAGAGTTGACTGCAGAGAGTTGACTATGAAGATGAGTTACCTGATGAGAAGTCTGTTCAAGTTGATGAGTGTAACTTGGAGTTGGCTGTTAAAATAGCACCTCGCCACTTATCGCTGGGAAGTTGATGGCTGTTGAACGGGTTGAGTTGGCTGCGGTTCTTAGCCTGGGCCATACCCTCTCTTTCGTAAGGATGCTGTTCTGGGTGTATGAATCATTGTGTGGTGCTTCTGATTGGACACACTGCATCGTTTTTCAGACTGGCACACCTGGATCGAGTGGTGGCCTAAGCAATTGAAGCACAGCCGCGCTGAGAGAACCAGGTTGCATCGCTCCAGTTAAGAGAGAGCTGCAAAAAATTTGCAGTCGACTAAGTCATGATCTCGACTGTTGCACGGGTCACAGGAGTAATCAGCCTGTCTCTTTTGAGCCCCATGCCTAGAAGATTGAGTCGTCTGCTGGCGAGTAGACTGTTGTTGTGACTTGGACTTCTTCGTGATCACTGGAGTAGGCCACCGTTTTGCCTGACGAGCTGCGTCCTGAGCTGACTCCTTCGCACGTGCCCTGGTTGAGATGAAGTTGAGTAGACTGTTGAGTGTAGTTGGAAACCGTGATCTGCTCCGTTTTTACTCCCAGGACTTTCGGAGATGCTGCTCGAATTCGCTGGCCACCAAATCGATCAAGAAGTAGTCTGCTGAGTTGACTGGAACTTTGAGTGCCCTGAGTGCATCCAAGTTCTGCTTCACAATGCCTACTAAGTTGTCTAACTGTTCAGCTGATTTGGATGATGGTGTTGGAATGCTAAGCAGATGTTTAATATAAGAGAATATGAGCTGCTCAGGGTTATCGTACCTCTCCTTTAGTTGCTTCTAAGCTTTCATGAGCGGAGGTTGTCTTACTAGCTCAACCATATCCTGATAATAAATTGGAGCTGTTGGTACTCTGCCATTTGAGACGTCAGCTCAAATTGTGTTGTGTTGGCGATTGGTGGTGGCGACTTTGACCTGTCACGTGATGTAGATGATCTGTCAGGCACCTTTAGCGTGTTTTCTGTAACACCTTCTGCTTGAGAGTGGCCTGCAATGATCGATGACACTTGGTCTACGCTAACTTTTTCCACCATTTTACTAACACCTTCGATTGAATCATTGTCGTCAGCTACATCCACGTAGTCCGACTTGGCAGGAGAAATTACTCGTTTGTCTGCCATGATTCACTTAAGTGAGTTGTCTGGGATCAAAAAAGAGGGTACCATTCTCCCCAAGAACTGCACAAACTAGTACACGAGCCGTCTGATGTCACCTTGACACTAATGGTGGGCTTTCACTAAAGTCACAACACTAAACAAATGTCACACAATTTATTAAACGAGTCTACAAGCTCTTAGTAATCTTGTGAGGTGACTACACTTACACTAAGGCCACTAATCTAACTAAATACTATGTCTATTTACACATGAGTTGACTGCGTTACGGCTCTCTTGACTCTAACCAAAGTGCGCGCCAAGCGCCTTAAGAGAAGTCCAAATTGGCTAGACTGAGCACCACTGCACAACAATAACACAGATGAGTGTCACGTAGCACTGGAATGCGTAAACACCTTTTGTATGTGAGGTTGTTTACACTAAAATACGAAGAGTTGTCTGATCACAAACACTCGAGAAAATATTCACTACTAGAACCTTCTAGAATTGTTCGAGATGCATCCAAGCCGTTCTCATCCAGCTCGAAGGACCAAATGTTCTGACTTCGAGTCCGCCGTGATGAAAAGAAAAAGATTTGGATTAAGTGGACTGTAGGATTAATTCAAGAGGTTGGATGCTAGAAGGTTCATGAAAGCACTTTCAGACACACAAAGAATCTCAGTTTTTAATATTTATTGAGAACAAACACTTGAACTATGAATATCTATGTACTTTATCACTAAATATGTAGGAAGTGTCTATCTCAGACCGCGTGTAGCGACAGGCACACAATACAACGGAGTTGTTCGGGGGTGTGATGTATGTGTGACTGTCCATGGGGTACTATGGCGTCGAAGCCAGCATAGTTTCGCGCCCAAAGACACACAACTGCTATTGCTGGACCACTAGCACGTTTGAGATTGATGATTGTTTTCACTTTTGTCCGAGGGACAATGATTGAGATGACTGAGATATATTTATCTGAACACCGTGAGTTTTACTGGCGTAGGAAAATCTATCTTTATTTTCTGTAATTTTCAGGATACAATTTCTACTTTTACACTCATGAAGTGGACGATGACTATTACAGACTTCTGGCAGATTATAATCACGGTTATTGCGTGATATGTCTATCGACAAGCACTGACGTAGTGACACTCACTATCCCAGAAGTTTGTAATAGTCATCGTCCACTTCATGAATGTAACGATCGAAAGCTGTTTATAATTATAAAAAATTAATAAAAGCGACGTGTTCTGACCTAGAGGGCCTTAAGTCAGCAAGTCTAACAATATTCAAAATTGTGTAATGCCGGACTTGTCCACCGGCGCGTCAGTCAACTCACCGGACCAATCATCGGGAAGTAGTTCCCTCATGGCCCAGAAGGCAACTCTACGGCCCTAGTGACGCCAACAAGCACGCCGTCGAGCACTTGTGGCGTCAGTTAGCTCCAGGCAAATCACGCGGTCATCTCTGTATAATTTTTCGCAGTCAAATCGCAGTTTTTTTTTTGCAGTCAGCTCACTCGTTGTACAATACAGTACGGTCAAAGAGACTCAGACACCTCTCACCAAGATACGTGAATCATCAAATCACTCTCATCAGTACAAGTGGTCCAGTATATTCAGTTTGTATCGTCTTTGGGCGCGAAGCTGAACTGGCGTCGACGCCATAGTGCCTCACGGACATTCACCTATACATCGCTCCCCCGAATAACTCTGGTGTATACTGTGAATGTTGCTATTCACTGTTTTTTGAGACTATGTTATTTGGTGAAAAAATAACCATTGGACAACTCATAAGTGTACAAACAATTATGGTACAGTCAACTCAACTAGATGTAGTGATTATTAAATTCTATTGAGTATGTTAAGTGTTATTGTTGAATAAAAACTATAAAACCCAAGCAATCCAGTGTTAATAAACTATATTTTAGAACCTTCTAGCATCCAACCTTTTGTTCCTATTCTGCTCTTAATTCATACAGTCCACTAGTTTCCAGTTTGCTCATTCGGCCGACTCAAAGTCAGAACATTTGGTCCTTCGAGCCGGATAAGAACGGCTTGGATGCATATCGAATAACTCTAGAAGGTTCTAGGGCTTCATAATTTTGTGAATATTTTGTGAGATGCTCTGTATAAAGTGCTTGGAATTTAGTTAGACTCAAATAACTTTCACTGTCAGTGTGTAAACAACCTTACAGACAAAAGGTGTTTACGCATTCCAGTGCCCAGTGACACTCATCTGTATTATTGTGAGACAGTGGTGCTCATCTCACAACTTAAACAATTTTTTTGAGACGCTTGGCGCGCAGTTTGGTTGTGTGAGAGCCAAGATACCCTCGACGCAGTCAACTCACGTGTATATAAACATAGTGATTAATTAGCGTAGTGTCCTTAGAGTAAGTTTTGTCACCTAAAATTATTATTAAGAGCTCGTAGACTCAGTTAAATAATTTGTGTGATTCTTTTGGTGTTGAGACTTTCTTGAAAGCCCACCATTGGTATCAAGGTGACAGCAGACAACTCTAGCATCAGTTTTTGTGCATTTGTTTTGTGATAAGAGTAATTATAGTGACATTAGACTACTCATTTAAGTAAATCATGGCAGATAAACGTGTAATTTCTCCTGCCAAGTCGGACTACATAGATGTAGCTGACGACAACGACTCAATAGAGGGTATGGCCCAGGCCAAGAACCGCAGCCAACTCAACCAGGTTAACAGCCATCAACCTCCCAGCAGTGAGGTGATGATGTGCCATTTCCACAGCCGACTCCAGATCACACCCATTCATCTAAGCAGACTTCTCACCAGGTAACTCATCTTCATAGTCAACTCTCTGCAGTCAACTCTAATTATGTTTCAGTCAATTCTCCAAGTGGTAGTGTGATCACTCAACATGCAGACAACTCAACGATTAATGGTTATGAATCATATCAATCTATATGTGCTGATAGGAGTAAAGAATGCTTCTCTGATGCGAGACGGAAAGGATGACCTTAGCACATGAGGTTTCGGCCTCAGGAGGGTTGAGGGTCCTGGAAGAAGAGTCAGAAGGTCTCGTTCGATCTCCTACAGCTGAAGAAAAGAGTCAAACTCACACTAGTCAACTCTCAGACGACTCACATGATTCAACAATCACCAAGAACACTACAGACAACTCAGATATCCATGGAAGACTCGCTTCAGCACTCAGGGCAGCAGAAGATCCATGCACTAACGAGTCTCCAGTTCAATCAGACAGCTCAGCAGTCTTACTCGCCACAGCCAATGCAGTATTACTCTCAGACTACTCTCAGCTCCCAGTAAGACTTTTGATAGATTCAGAGTCTGAGCTGACGTTCATCTCATCAAGTGTGGTAAAGACTTGTCATCTCCAACGTCGTCCATCAGGAATATCAGTGCTGGGAATTGGTAATGAACCAGCTGTACAAACTAGAGGAGTGACAACAGTGACACTTAGATCAACTCACACACAGGAGCAAGTTACAATTAATGCTCATATCCTCAAATGTGTCACTGGTACTTTACCAACCAGACAACTCAAAGAACTCAACTGGTCAGCTCTCAACTCTCTGCAACTTGCTGATCCAGACTACTCAACTCCAAGACCCATTGACATCTTAATAGGAGCAGATTGTTATGGTCTAATTGTGAAGGCAGGCATCAAACAGTTTCCTCAGTCATCTCTCATAGCCCAAGATTCAATTTTTGGATGGATGCTCATTGGAAGTCCACACCCGACAAGATGCTCAAGTCAGAGAACTCATCACGCAGCAAGGGTCAACTCATACCAGCAAGTATCTGATCTCTTGACAAAATTCTGGGTTCAAGAAGAAGTTCCAGATACTTCAGCCAGCCAACTCAGCCCAGATGATCAATCTTGTGAAGATCATTATGTTACGACTCATTCAAGAGATCACGATGGGAGATATATTGTGAGAATACCACTCAAAGCATCACCATCTCTTCTAGGCAACTCATCAGCGAGAGCTCATCAGTGTTTACTACACATTATCAGACGACTCACAAAAAATGACTCATATGCACAACTCTATCACAACTTTATGCAAGAATACGAGTCACTGAACCACATGACACGAGCCAAGGCAAGTCCAGTCAACTCTCCAGTGTATTATTTGCCTCATCATGGTGTCTTAAGAGAAGACAGTGTTACTACAAAGCTTAGGGTAGTATTTAATGGCTCTAGTCCATCTTCTAGTGGTCTATCAGTGAACGATATTCAACATACTGGTGCCAAAGTCCAGAAAGACATTGCAGACGTACTCATTTGGATCAGGCAGCATAAATTTGTGTTCACATCAGACATCACCAAGATGTACAGACAAATCAAAGTCCACCAAGATGATTGGGATCTCCAGAGAATCCTGTGGGTGGACGAGCACTCCAAGATCATCCCATATCAACTCACAACAGTCACGTATGGTACCAGATCAGCTCCATTTCTGGCTGTTCGCACAATGATCCAGCTAGTGAAGGATGAGGGTCATAAGTTCCCTCTAGCTGTTGATCCACTACTAAAAGGAAGATATGTGGACGATATTTTTGGAGGTGCTGACACCGTGAGTCAACTGATAGACATCTCAACCCAAGTCAGACAACTCTGCATGGCAGGTGGCTTCCCGTTAGCGAAATGGCACAGCAACTCACTTCAATTCCTACAATCACTTACAGACAACTCATCAGAAAAGCAGATCCACTCATTTGAGAGCAGCAAAACGAAATTACTTGGGCTCTCGTGGATTCCAGCGACCGACTTATTTAAGTTCAACTCAAAACCTCCTCGTGAGAAGTCCAAGCTCACAAAGAGAATAATTTTATCAGAAACAGCACAACTCTACGATCCACTTGGATTTCTAGCACCTTTCATTGTCAGAGCAAAGATGTTGCTACAAGAAATCTGGCTAGATAAACTCTCATGGGATGACCAAGCCCCAGATCACATCATCACCAAGTGGAACAGCTTCAGATCAGAACTCTCACAAGTTTCAGACCTCTCAATTCCACGATGGTTACGGATTACTCAGAAATCGACCGTGGAACTTCATGGTTTTTCAGACGCCTCACAAGCAGCTATGGCAGCTGTTGTTTACATACGGACTACTCATCCAGATCATGGAACTTGTTCAACTATAGTCTGCTCAAAGTCTAAGGTTGCTCCATTGAAGAAGATGTCAATTCCCAGACTCGAACTCACCGCAGCATTGCTGCTTGCCAGACTAATCACTTATGTAAGGAACAACTTAGACATTCAGCCAACTCAACTCGTATGTTGGACAGACTCCTCAGTGACTTTGACCTGGATTCAGTCTCACTCATCCCGTTGGAAGGAGTTTGTAAGAAACAGAGTGTCAGCAATTCAAGATCTCACTCCAATCGGCGTTTGGAGGTTTGTACCTGGCAAACAAAATCCAGCGGATTGTGCTTCTCGAGGTATCAGCATATCCCAGCTTCGGAAGCACCCCCTGTGGTGGACAGGACCACAGTGGTTAACAGCAGACGAATCATTATGGCCAACTCAATCATCAGTGTACGATTCAAAAGCTCAGCAGGAAGAGCGGCCCGGGCTCACTTTAGTTACTCAGACAATTCAACATGATTATCATTGGGATATGATATACAGACATTCTCGGCTAATCAAATTGCTCAGAGTGACTGCAATTTGCTTCAGATTCAGCCAACTCCTCAGACGAGTACCGCAGTCATCCCTCACCTTCCCTCTCACGCCACAAGAATTAGAGAGAGCAAGGATTTTTTGGATAAAGGCAACTCAAGAATCGTACTTCTCACAAGAAATCAAGCAGATCAACTCAAATTCACTGCCCGTCTCACACCCCCTCGCACGATTGACAGCATTTATTGACACTCAGGGAGTCATACGTGTTGGAGGGAGGTTAGCAAATGCTAGCTTGGACCAAGAAGCAAAGCATCCTGCAATCCTACCACAGAAAACTCATCTTTCCAGACTAATCATTGCAGACGCTCATGAAAGAACATTGCACGGTGGGACGCAGGCAACTCTGAACCTCATACGATCATCGTACTGGATCATTGGCGGACGACTCCTAGTACGATCCTATATTTATCATTGTATGAAATGTGCTCGTTTACGTGGCGAACGAGCGAAGCAGTTAATGGGTCGATTGCCGTTATCAAGAATCACTCCAGCCCGACCATTTGCCGTCTGTGGTGTGGATTACGCTGGTCCCATCACGCTCAAGACTTGGAAAGGCAGAGGCGCCAAAACATCTAAGGGTTGGATGTGCATTTTTGTGTGCTTCGTTACTTCTGCACTTCATTTAGAGATTGTAACAGATTATTGAGCAGACTCATTCATTGCAGCGTTCAGAAGGTTCACTGGACGTCGAGGTGTCTGCAGAACTCTCCACAGTGATTGTGGCACCACATTTCAAGGCGCAGACACGCTCATCAGACAACTCTTCATGCAGGGGACTCAACAGTTCAGTCAACTCGCAGCTGTATTTGCAAAGGATGGAACTGATTGGAAGTTTAATCTACCAGCTGCACCACATATGGGAGGAAAATGGGAAGCTGCAGTCAAATCAGTAAAGTTCCATCTTAACAGAACGATAGGTGACTCACTCTTTACATATGAAGAGCTTTCCACACTGCTTGTCCAGATAGAAGCAGTCCTTAACTCCAGACCACTCGAGCCTCTCTCAGCCGACTCTACAGACATCTCAGCGTTGACTCCAGCACACTTCTTGGTTGGTGAACCACTAGTAACATTACCAGAGCCTTCACTGGAAGATGTGCCAATGCCAAGCTTGTCCAGGTGGCAATTTATTCAGCAGCGACTCCAATCGTTTTGGTCAAAGTGGTCAAAACAATACCTTCAGCAGCAACTCGCCATTTCCAAGTGGAAACACCCCTTTCACAACATCACAGTCGGCTCACTTGTACTACTCACTGACGAGAGGTTCCCACCAACGAAGTGGCCTCTCGCCAGAGTGATTGAGGTGTTCCCAGGATCAGACGGACTCATCAGAACAGTCAAACTCAGGACAGCAACAGCAGAACTCGTCAGACCACTCACAAAGCTAGTCATCTTACCATACACTCCACCAGCAAAAGATCAGCAAAGGCGTTGCTGATGGTGGGACAATGTTCTGACTTGGAGGGGCCCAAGTCAGGTAGTCAGAAATATTCAAAAAATTGTTAATGCCGGACTTGTCCACCGGCGCGTCAGTCAACTCACCGGACCAATCATCGGGAAGTAGTTCCCTCATGGCCCAGAAGGCAACTCTACGGCCCTAGTGACGCCAACAAGCACGCCGTCGAGCACTTGTGGCGTCAGTTAGCTCCAGGCAAATCACGCGGTCATCTCTGTATAATTTTTCGCAGTCAAATCGCAGTTTTTTTTTTGCAGTCAGCTCACTCGTTGTACAATACAGTACGGTCAAAGAGACTCAGACACCTCTCACCAAGATACGTGAATCATCAAATCACTCTCATCAGTACAAGTGGTCCAGTATATTCAGTTTGTATCGTCTTTGGGCGCGAAGCTGAACTGGCGTCGACGCCATAGTGCCTCACGGACATTCACCTATACATCGCTCCCCCGAATAACTCTGGTGTATACTGTGAATGTTGCTATTCACTGTTTTTTGAGACTATGTTATTTGGTGAAAAAATAACCATTGGACAACTCATAAGTGTACAAACAATTATGGTACAGTCAACTCAACTAGATGTAGTGATTATTAAATTCTATTGAGTATGTTAAGTGTTATTGTTGAATAAAAACTATAAAACCCAAGCAATCCAGTGTTAATAAACTATATTTTAGAACCTTCTAGCATCCAACCTTTTGTTCCTATTCTGCTCTTAATTCATACAGTCCACTAGTTTCCAGTTTGCTCATTCGGCCGACTCAAAGTCAGAACAGAGGGAATTCATCAATAGCCATGTTAAAGATGAAAATATCAAAGAAAAGTTTTCATGCAAGTTTGCAAAAATTCGAATATGATTTTCACCAAGTACTTACTGAAGCTAAAGTGGAAACATTGTTAAAAAAAAGAAAATATTTTATAGAGCACAAAGTAGTAGAATTTAAACTTGATGCAAATGAGCAAGTAAGTACATTAAAAAAAATTTCATTCAAAAGGTTATCTTCTTCCGTTAACAGTAGTACTTGAAAATTTTTTTGAGTTGCCAAAGGTTTACGAAAAAACAATTGAATACATGAAAAAATTTTACTTTTTTATTATTAATATAATTAACATTGTCTTATTGATGAACTTTAGATCCGTACCTTTTATAGAATCGACTTTTATTTTATAAAAATTGATTCTATAAAAGGTACGAATCTGAAATTCATCAAGAAGACAATATGATTTATATTAGTGATGAAAAAGTAAAATGTTAAAATACAATTGATTAGTATATACAATAATTCAAAGCTCCATTTTTGTTAAAACAGGAATTGAATTTTCTAATTTCTAAAAAAACAGTATTTAAAACTCAAGTACAAGATATACTTATTAAATGTAAAAAATATTTTTCATTTTTTTATCTAGTGTACTTAAGATCAATAATATAAATGTTACTATTGGATAAACGATTTTTGTTATGACAAGCGAAAAATATTTTTTAGAATAGTAAACGTTAGCATTATTATTAGGAAATATTCTACATGTCATAAGTATAAAATGTACTTTCAATAAGTATTTACATATGTTCTTTTAAAATAAATATATTTTCAAATAGACTACAATTGAAGTTGGTGACAAGTAAATGACGTACAAATTTTCAAAAAATAAGTCTCTTCATATTTTAAAACAATCTGCTTGAAATCAGTAATAAAATTTTTATTGTCAAATAAGCAATTTTTTACAACAAATTAAAAGATATTTTTATAGAAGTTAATGTTAGTACTAATATTAGACAATATTATACTTGTCATAAGTATAAAATATACCCCAAGTAAGTATTTATTAAATGTTCTTTTAGAATAAATATTTTTACAAATAGGCTATAATTTAAATTTGTTCCAAGTAAACAGTGGACAACTTTTAAAGAAATAAGACTTAATATTTCTACATAATGTGCTTGAAATCAGTAATAAAAATGTAATTATCAAGTATGCAATTTTTTCCAGAAAAGTAAACGTAGAGAACGATGTTCTTGGCATGAGCATAAAGTAAATTTATTTTGAAACAAGATTTGTGTTCTCTTTTAGTCTAATTGTGAATACCTCAATGCAGTTAAATTCCTAACACAAGCTCTCGTCCCTCAAATATAAAGAGAATCGGACTCAGATTGAGTAATAGTTTTTATAGCCACTCATTTGTAGAGAATTGAATTCTCTTATCAATAGAATATACTTACTTTGCAATTTTTTTTTTCTCTAATTGTTTATAACAAAAAAAAGGCAAAATTGAATTAATTATTGAAAACAAAGAAAATTCAATCCTCTGCTAATGAGTGGCTATACCAATTATGATAGAACTTTGATTGGAACATTCTTTCGAACGTTAAAGTAGCATGAGGAATAAATCAACCTGTATACATGCTCGCAAAACTCGTTTCAGGTTGTCGTGGTTCACAGGTGCTGTCAATTCAAGTAAATGTCTTTTGCTATGAAGAGAATTAAGTTTCTGTTTAATTCGTTACTATGGGGTACAAAGGTGGACCCCTCCTCGTGGGTATACCTGGTATCTCTGCCCTAACTTTGTAATGTGTGTGTATAAACACATTACAAAGTTCCCTGGTTGATCCTGCCAGTAGTAACATGCTCGACTCAAAGATTAAGCCATGCATGTTTAAGTACATACCGAACTACGGTGAAACCGCGGATGGCTCATTAAATCAGTTATGGTTTCTTAGATTGTACCTACATTTACTTGAATAACTGTGGTAATTCTAGAGCTAATACATGCAAACTAGAGTTCCAACCAGAGATGGAAGGAACGCTTTTATTAGATCAAAACCAATCGGTGGTCTCGGCCATCGCTTACTTTGGTAATTCTGAATAACTTTTAGCTGATCGTATGGTCTCGTACCGACGACAAATCTTTCAAATGTCTGCCTTATCAACTGTCGATGGTAGGTTCTGCGCCTACCATGGTTGTAACGGGTAACAGGGAATCAGTGTTCGATTCCGGAGAGGGAGCCTAAGAAACGGCTACCAAATCCAAGGAAGGCAGCAGGCGCGCAAATTACCCACTTCCGGCACGGGGAGGTAGTGACGAAAAATAACGATACGGGACCCATCCGAGGCCTCGTAATCGGAATGAGTACACTTTAAATCCTTTAACGACAATTGGACAATTGGACAACAAAAACAATTGGAGGGCAAGTCTGGGGCTACCAGCCGCGGTAATTCCAGCTCCAATAGCGTATATTAAAGTTGTTGCGGTTAAAAAGCTCGTAGTTGAATCTGTGTGCCACACTGTCGGTTCACCGCTCGCGGTGTAAACTGGCATGTTTGTGGGACGTCCAACCGGTAGATTTAGCTTTAGTGTAAAAATTAAAGCGGTTCAATAATCCTGACGCGGTGCTCTCAATTGAGTGTCGAGATGGGCCAGTACGTTTACTTCGAACAAATTAGAGTGCTCAAAGCAGGCTTATTATCGCCTGAATACTGTGTGCATGGAATAATAGAATCTCGGTTCTATTTTGTTGGTTATCGGAATTCCGAGATAATGATTAATAGGGACAGATGAGGGCATTCGTATTGCGACATTAGAGGTGAAATTCTTGGATCGTCGCAAGACGGGCAAAAGCGAAAGCATTTGCCAAAAATGTTTTCATTAATCAAGAACGAAAGTGAGAGGTTCGAAGGCGATCAGATACCGCCCTAGTTCTAACCATAAACGATGCCAGCTAGCGATCCGCCGAAGTTCCTCCGATGACTCGATGTGCAGCTTTCGGGAAACCAAAGCTTTTGAGTTCCGGAGGAAATATGATTGCAAAGCTGAAACTTAAAGGAATTGACGGAAGAGCACTACTAGGAGTGGAGCCTGCGGCTTAATTTGACTCAACACGGGAAACCTCACCAGGCCCGACAGCGGAAGGAATGACAGATTGATAGCTCTTTCTTGATTCGGTGGGTGGTGGTGCATGACCGCTCTTAGTTGGTGGAGCGATTTGTCTGGTTAATTCCGATAACGAACGAGACTCTAGTCTGCTAAATAGACGTATTTTAGGTATCTTGAAGGTCTATAATTTTCGGATTATAGATTTTTACTACCGACGTACTAAAACTCTTCTTAGAGGGACAGGCGGCTTCTAGTCACACGAGATTGAGCAATAACAGGTCTGTAATGCCCTTA